CAAAATAATTTTCAATTGTAATTATAACACAACACAATTCAATATAATTACAGTACTTCACAACAATTTTAAACACACCATAACTCTAATATAAAGTAAAAACAAAAAATATATATTGTGGCGAGTGTAGCTAAATTTATTAGAGATATTATCAATCTCTCATGTGACCCAATGGTGGCCACGCTGTCCATTGGACAGCAAGTGAAGTGTACTCAACTTTAAGGTTTAATCCTCCCTAACAACAACAAATACTAACACCTAATTTAGCCATTTCTTCCTTTAAAAAAATAGAGATATTAATTTAAAAAAAAAGAAAGTAAATTTAACATAAAAAACTATTAATTAGAGATTATTTTATATTTTTAGACTTTTTAAAAAATATTTTTAAAAAAATGATGCTATTGAGATAACTTTTTTTATAACTTTTACATGTTATTAAATAAATTGATACATTTAATATCATGAGTCTCATATTTATTAAAACATAAAAATTAATTATTTTAATGATACATTAAATTATATAAAAAAATAAATTAAAATGATTGCCCAATAATATTTTTCTTTTAAAAACCTCAGCTACTTTTTTTTATAATTTTTGGACTAAACCAACACCGTTTTTGTCTTAAAAAGGAGCAAAAAATTCTGTCTAACATGCGCTGATGTAGGCGCTGATTTTCAATGCCTGCACAGCCCATCTCAGCGGCTGGATTTAAATTTTTTAAAATCTAACGGCTGATATTTTTATTTTCAAATTTTCTTTAATTCAAATCTTTTGTTTTGAATAAAATAATATTAATATAAATTTTGAGAAAGTTTATTTAAATGTTTGCATTAAAGAGTAGATATTCTGTTATATATTTATTTTATAATTAAATATATAAAAATATAAATTTATATAAAATAATATTAATTGTAATAAAGTGACATAAAACAAACTTTTTCATTGATTCTATCGCACATGCTCTAATAGTAAACAGAGAAGCGACGTCTCACTGGAGACCTTTTATTAGTTGTAAGTTTGAGGCTTTATATTGAAAGTTTTAGAGATTTGAAAGGTGGAGGTTTATTTTTTAACATATTTTGTTGTCTTAAAATAATTTTTTTGATTAAATGATTAATTTAAATGAATTTATAATGATAAAGTTAAAGTAAAAAAATATTTATTTGATTTGAAAAATAAAAATGACAATTAATTTAGATAAATTTAAAATAAAAAAGTAATAATTATTTTGAGATGGAAGTAATAACATATTGTAATTGCACCAAACCAGAAGTCTTTCTTTAGTTCGCGCTTCCACTCCGAGATGACCTGCAAAGCCCCGAGGTGGAACTCGGAGTAGACACTCCGATGCTTAAGTCAGCAATAATCGGGGCTACCTTTAGGGCGGAGATAAAAAG